AGACTCTCCCTGCCTTGCCTATAGTAAGTGATCACTCAAGCCCCATGCTTCCGCAACAAGTCCGTGGGAAGTAAATGCAGGCACAGCCCCAAGCCTCTAGCTGCAGGGACGTTCGCTGGATAAAAATGAAACCCCAGACCATGCCCAGGAGCCCATCTGTCATGGGCACCTCAGAAGCAGTCACTTGCAGAGCACGCTGCCATCCTGCTGGGCCAACCCGCAGTGTGATGGCCACATTCTGGACAAGGCTGGAGTTGACAGAGGAACCCTCATCACCAAGGCAGTAAGCTCAGAGAACTTTCCGAGGAGGATCATTCATCCTGTGGGCAGCAGCTGCTAGAGGATTGATGCAGGAGTGTTCAGAGCTGCAGGTGCAATGGAACCTTTAAGCAGGAGATCCCAGGGACAGCTAGGTGATCCTTTATGCATATGTTGCAGGCACCCTGGGAGACCAGCCAGCTAAGAGAGTTCGTTTTCAGAGCTGGGGAATGCCGAGGCAGGTGGGAAGTATGGTTGGCTCAGTTTTTCAGTAGCAAAGCTGGATGGGGATCAGCCAAACACCCTGGCCAGTCCTCCTGTCTCACTTCCCTGGAGAGTTGTCAAACATTTGTTGTGTGCCAGCTGTCACCCACCTGTCCCTTGGGAGCCCTAGAATGGCAAGTTGGTGTTGATGAGCTGATTCCCCTGTGGGCACTGCCACCTGCTCTGTGTTCACAGCTCAGCTCTGTTTTCTACTAGTTGGGCGACCTTAAGCAAGGTAAGGGACAATTTCATCCCTCTGCTTCCTCTCTGATCAAGTGGGTGTGGTCATGATTCAAACCTCATAGTTTATTTACTTGACAGATGGAGTTACAGGGAGAAAGAGAGAGAGAGAACTTGTATCCGTTAGTTCATTCCCGAATGGTCACAATAGCTGGGGCTTGGCCTGCCCAGAGCCAGTAACCCAGAACTCCATCTCTGGGTCTCCTACATGAATGGGGTACTCGGGTCTGAGTACTTGGGCCATTTTGGTCTGCCTCAGCATTGGCTTGGCTGTTCCGGAGGTGCAGTGCTCCCTGTACACTGGGCTGGGGTGGGAAGCAGGGCACCTTAGTGAGAGTCAGATGTCATCAAGACTTGAAGAACACAGGTAAAACTTCTCTGTGGAGCAGGCTCTTGACCATGGGCAGTGGTGGAATGGTTAATGGAGAGAACAGGAGAAGCCGTATCTGAAAGAGGAATAGCATGAACCAAGGCAGAGGTCTGAGTATGGGAGTGGGAATTTACGAGGCCCAAAAGGTGGAGCACAGAACGAGGACTCCGTCATCCAGCCGGAATGTGGGCATTTCGTTGAGGAGGCAGGGGTAGCCACTGAGAGCAGGACACTCGTGTTCGTGGGTTCTGTTACCTGGTTGTCTCCCCATATTTTTCCATGGGTTCCAGTAAAGGAGCTGATTTTCTTATGATTTTCCAGACCCAGACATAAACCAGTTCATGATTATTTCGAGGAAATTTTGACCCTGTCCAGTGTTTATTGCTCTTCTGTTTCCATATTATCCCAGGGTGCTGGCCACAATGTTCAGAGTGGTTTTCAGAGAAAGCGTTGATAGCAGACTTCCTTCTAAACATTTTACCATCCAAGGACCATGTTGACTTTAGAATCAAGATCAACATAAGATCAAATGTTTCAATTCTTCAGTTCTTCAATTCTTACCAAGTGGTATCAAAAGGAGCTAATATGCAATCTTAGCCAATGCTCAATTAGCATATCTTGATAGAATATGCGTTTGCTGCTTGGATGCATTAATGTGATATCCTGAACAGCATTTTCATATTGAACCATCCTTGCACTCCGAGAAATAATTATTTATTTAGTCATGGTATATTATTTCTTTTCTAGGGTTGCCTGATCAATCTGACAGTAGATTTTTCCTATTCATATTAGCAAGTTATAAGGTCAGCTTTTTAAAAAATTTATCTAAAAGTCAGAGTTGGCAGAGAGAAGAAACAGATCTTCCCATCTGCTGGTTCACTCCCCAGATGACTGCAATGACTGGGACTCGGCCAAACCGAGTCCAGGAGCCAGAAGGTCCATTTGGGTCTCCCTCATGGGTGCAGAGGTCCCTACACTTGGGCCATCTTCCGCTTCTTTGCCAGGCACATTAGCAGTGAGCTGGGTGGGAAGTGGAACAGCTGGGGTCAAATTCTGGCTCCTCCTTTGTAGCCTTGGGCAAGTCTTACTTTCTTGTAAAATGTGGATAGGGTTGTTGGAAGTTAAACAAGACCATCATATGAAAGTGTCAAGTGTTCACCATGGGCAGGGTGTGAGTCCGGGGTCGGGGTCAGTTGTGCTTCCCTGGTTGGCGGGAAGCCAGTCTCTCAAGGAAGCTCCAGCCTGGCCAGCTGTCCCTGTCTGCCCCAATCTGCCCACTGTCGCTTCAATCTATTTTTTTTTCTTTTTTAGAAAGCAGGAGGGAAGTTGGACTTTACTTTTTTTTAAGGATTCATTTATTTTCACTGGAAAGACAGATTTATAGAAACAAGAAGAGACAGAAAGAGAGAGAGATCTTTCATTCACTGGTTCACTCCCCAAGTGGCCACAATGACCGGAGTTGGAGCCAGAAACCTCTTCCAGATCTCCCACATGGGTACAGAGTCCCATGGCTTTAGGCTGTCCTCTGCTGCTTTCCCAGGTCATAAGCAGGGAGCTGGATGGGAAGTGGAGCAGCTGGGACGTGAACCGGTGCCACATGGGATCCTGGTGCATGCAAGGTAGAAGATTAGCCTGTTGAGCTACTATGCCAGCACCGCCAACACCATCAATCTTTTTTTTTTTTAAATATACTTATTTGAAAGAATGACAAGGCGCAGTTGACAGAGGGAAAGAAAGAAACAAAGACACCCTCCGTCTGTTAGTTCATCTCCTAAATGGCCAAAAATAAGGAGCCTGGAATGCTACTGCGGTGCCAGGGGGAGGGTGTTCCATATGGTGGCAGGGAGGGGCCCAACCACTCGGACCGTCATCTCTTGCTTTCCCAGGTGTGCTAACAGGGAACTAAACAGAGCAGCCAGTACTTGAACCAGCTTTGCTCCCACATGAGACGTCAGGGTCACAAGCAGTGGCTTACCCGGCTGTACTTCCATGCCACGCCCCACGTTGTGATCTCGTCCTGAGCAGTGTGACCCCACCTGCACTCACCTTCAGGCAGCTCTGCGGAGGCTCATGGGCCTCTGGATCTCCGTGACAGCTGACCGGGGCGGAGCAGGCACAGCATGGCTGTGTTAGTATCTGTCCTGCCACCTGTTCCCCATGTGCCACCTTAGGCCCCCATGTGCCCATGACAGCGGGGGGCCGGTGAGGAGGTGCCCCTGGGCCCTTCTCGCGTTGATTCTCCGCGGGGCAGGAAGGGGGCTGGTGTGTGGTGTCACTCTCTAGCCCCCAGTGTTGCCACCTCAGACCACAAGGACTGAGCTCCCTTTGGCTTCCGTTCGCACGGAGGATGTGGGGGCCTGAGAGGGCTTGCCAGGATGAGCCTCGCCCCCTCTTCCTGTCTGTGTGATTGGTTGCAGCCCGTGTCTTGCTTCATCTCTGCTCCCACTGGAGTCCTAATAGGAGCTCTGGTGGGTGCAGAGACACAGCCCGTGACAGTGCCCAGGGGAGGGCTATGGGCAGAGCCGGAAAGAGTGAGCAGAGGGAGCGAGGGAGGGAGAGTGCCTGCCGTGCTCAGGACTTGGCACTGTGTAAGGTTCTGAGCAGGGGCAGGGCACTGCTGAGTGAGGCAGCCCTGGATGCTGAGGACTGTTCTGATGGCAGCTCTGGAAGGGAAGGTTCCTCAATGCTGGGTTCTTGGGGTAGAGTATGGGTGGGTGGGTACGTGAGTCAGAGGTGGCCCTTCTATGTCCCACTCCAGGAGGCCAGAGCTGTCTTCCACCTTCTGCAGCCTGCACCGTGGGAACTCACAGCAGAGGTGCTCCTGGGGCCCGGCCTGACTCCACACAGTCAGCAGCTGCCCCTGGGGCTGCCCTAGTCCTCAGTGCCTGTCCCCAGAGAGGCCTACCTTGCCTTCTTAGGCTGGCTGAGATGGGCTCACCCCTTTCCTATGGATCTTCTAGGTCCTTCCTCCAGGGTGGGGTCTCGCCCCCAGCACCAGGATTCATCTCAGAACAGGTGGTCTTCTAAAATCAGTGCTCTCGGTCCTCGCCAGGGGAACCTGTTACAGGTGATGGGCAACGGTTGGTCGGAAGGCTGTGGCCCCATTCCTGCCCTAAGCAGCAGCAGCTGTGCCCTGCCAGAGCTGTGCCACCTTGGATTTCCTGCCAGCAGTGTGGAAACTGTATCCCTGGAGACTGTTCACAGGGCTATGCATGAAAAGCCTACTGTGTACCATGCTGGTAGAGAGCCCCACTGTCCCGGCTATGGATGGGCCCCAAGTCCCTGCCCTTCTGAGGAGCCACCCAGTGAGGGCCAGGGTCTCTACCCCTATGGGTGTTGGCGGTGGCAGGTGCTGCCTGCATGGTCACTGAATAAGAAGAGCTCCTGACCAAAGAGGCAAGAATTCTGTACAGGGCCAGATGGAGAGCTTCCAGGCTGTGTTCTCTATCCCTGCCTTTTCTGCCTTTCCATGAAAGCTGGCAAAGCAGACGGGCAGGGCGGTGTTGGCGCTGCTGTCCCAGGCCATTCAGGCAGGAGCAAGAGGGACCTTGTACAGGTGCCTTGGGGAGCAGACATCCAGCAGAGCTGGTTGGAGCCAGGCATGGTCTGGTTCTTGTTTCCCAGGGACAGGCTTGAGCCCTGACTTGGTTTGTGCTGAGTGAAGCAGGGGTGGCTGGAGATTGTGTGTGTGTGTGTGTGTGTGTGTGTGTGTGTGCATATGTGAGTAACGGTGGGGTTCGGGGCCCTGGGGCATGTTGGCATTCAGCATGTGGATGTGACAAATGTGCAGAGGTGTCCGGGGAGCCGTGGACGCTAGCGTCCGGCCACGGCAATGCTCACCCAATGAATTGTTGCTTTCATTCCTCAGGCCGCGACTTGGCGAGCACTACCCTCCCTGGCTACCCTCCGCACGTCCCCCCCGCCGGACAGGGCAGCTACTCAGCGCCCACGCTGACAGGGATGGTGCCTGGTGAGTCTGCGCATGGGCAGCTTTGCAGCGGGCAGCTGAGGGAGGCTGGGTAAGGGGGGGCGTTCCCTCCACCACCACCCCAAACAGCTCTGGGGTGACCCTGCTGAGGGTGGACCTGCATAAATCAGGCAGAGGTCTGAGCCCTCAGCCTCTGTTCTCTTGCAGCTAGGGCTGTGGTGGGATTGGGGCCATCCCGCAGCTACACTGGGGAAGATGTGAGAGAGAGGGCAGCCCTGGACTGTCACTCAAACAGCCCCTTGCTGACCATGCGGGGAGTCTGAACCCAGAGCAGTGCTTGGCCCAGCTGGAGGTCACCCAGCCGGGTGTGGGGGAGGCCTCCTCCCACTCTCTGTCTCCCACCCACTCAGCTGCGTGACATAGCAAGCAGGAAGCCCATGAGACAGGCGCTGCTGAGGGTCGGGTTCTTGTGGTCAAGAACAATGGGCTCTAGGTAGACAGGTTCTCGGCTGTTAGCTTTATCACTTGATTCTCAATTGAACACCTGTGGCCCTGGGGACCTGAGCCTCTCTGGCCAGTGATGTGTCAGTTGCATAGTGTTCAGGAAGGAGACTAGTGTGTGTCCTGGCATGCTGGGGTGGGGACAGCATGCCCCGTGGTGCTGACTGGCTGTGGGTCACACGTGTCTGCAATGATATCCCAGGAGGAAAAACAGGCTTCTGTGGCAAGCAGCTGCCCTGTCTCCTGCTCAGGTCATTCCCAGGGGCCCAGGCCCTATGGCCCCCTACCCTGTACACATTACTGGCTCTCTCTCTTTCTCTCTCTCTCTCTCTCTCTCGGCATTGAGAGAAATGCAGCATGCAGCTGGTTCTCTGCTTCTTGGAGGAAGCTGAGCTCTGAAAAGGGCTGAAGTGTACCCAAGTCACCCAGCAATAAAGAGATTAGGGCCACTTCCCACCTCCTAAAGGCCAGTCGGGCTCAGCCTTAAACTCAGGTGTCAGGACCCCTGCAGTGGGAGCCTCTCCTTAGAGACCTCTCCTCCCATTGCTGGCTGCCCCCGTGGACCAGGGAGGGCCTGCAGGGCTGTGGGGACCTGTGCATGCTTCTCCTTCCAACCCACCTCCGAATCCAACCCAAATTGGAACCTTGTGGGCACTGCCAGGCCCGAAGGCTAGCTCCAGGCATTTGGCTGTGCGGGTGAGTGGAGAGCTGGCGAGGTGGGGGGGCAGGTGCAGCAGGTGCGGTCACGCTGGCAATGGGGCTCACCCTGGTACACTTGGCTGCAGGGACCTGAATGCTCAGCTATGTCCTCTGCTTACAGGTTGTCACCAAGATGTATTTAATGAGGTAGGAACACAGAGCATATTTCATTTAATGGCTTGTTAACTTGATATATATGACTTCTAAATCTGAGACATAGGGTAGCTGGCCTCCATGTGCACCTTGCTCTGGGCCTGGCCAGTGCTGAGGAACCCCACCAGGCTTCCCTGGCAGAAAGCCCATCTTAGCTGGGGGCCAGCGTGGGCCTGCAACCCTGAGCATGGCAGGGCTGCCTCCAAGCTGTTCTTCAATCCTGCTCTGTGAACTGCCCATCCCATGTCCACATCATTTTGTAGAAGGCAAAGGGTTGTCCCTGACGTAACTAAGCTGATATGAGGTGGGCAAAGGCATGAACTCCGTTTTTCAGAAGGATTGCACAGCTCGCAGGTGGAGACGTGAGCCACTCCTCTAATCCTCCAGGAATCTTTAGTACAGGGCTGCCCCATCTTCTCTCTGTCAACTCTGGCTGCTCGATGATACAGCAGGAGTGGGCAGCAGCCGCGCCCAGCCCTGGCCCCTTGGCATGTGAGCAGGTGAAACGTGAGGTTACCAGGCTGGCCCCTCTGGCTCCCCACTGCAAACCTTTCAAAGGCTAAGTTCAGAGAAGCAGCTGAACTTCCTCTGAATTTATCCAAACAGAACCTGCTCTCCAGGTTTCCATGACCAAGCTCCAAAAACAAATGACCATGGGCCTGGCAGAGTCCCCGGCGGGAACGGACGGTGGTGCCTCGTTCATTAATGGTAGCAGCAAGAATCGCGGGTTCGAGCCAGGGTACAGTGCAGCCAATCCTGCTGGCAGTAGCAGGACAGGGCAGCCACAGGGGTCCTCTGGCATGATGGGGAGGGAGGCAAGCAGGCATCTTGACAGGGGCAGCTGCTACCTGCCTTCCTTCTCTGTAGCCCTCTCTCTCCTCTCCTGCCCGGTGCCCTTGCCTTCCTTCTCCCAGTGCTTACTCAGCAACAGGCTGGATGGGGCTTAGCTGGCACAGCCCTTGGCTCATGTGGCTCAGCATCCCAACTTTGGGGCAGGGCTAACCCTAGTGTCTGTTTCTTTGAGGGAGGCTAAGCCCCTCATCTGTGTAGGAGCTGTGTCAGGGCTGTCCCACAGCACAGGGGGCTAAGGGGGTCCTGGGCCATCCTGCCACTCCCCACTGTACTCTGGCTTCTGTGGGCCACACCTGACTCCTCTCCCAGTTTTCCCCTCCCTGATGGCTCACTGGTTCCCAGCATGTCTTAGACTCTTACCCACCAGTGTCCTTCCTCACCCTGCATCACTGCCCAGCTCGGCCACACGAACCCGTTCTTTTCCTCCTCTAGCTTCGACAAGTGCCTGGCAGTCCTTGGCTTGTGGCTGTGCTGCTCCCAGGCCAGGCACCTGCTCTCCTGTGTGAGTCAGTTCTTCCTCTTGTCCCATCTTGGAAGGACACACCTACACAACCCTCTCTAAACCCCAGCATAGTCCCACCTGCGAAGACCCACTCCTTTCCTCTTATGGTGGCCGTGGCATCCACAGATCCCGGCACACGGACATGGATCCACTGCAGCCTGACCGAGGGTTTCCACTCTGCATGGGTTCAGATTTCTGATTCCTAACTTCGTGGGCTTGGAATGTGAGAGGCATTTGTTCCATCACCTTGGGGTCCAGGTCATAGACCCCAGGGGCTTGTAGGCCCAGGTGGAGAAGCAAGAGGGCCTTGTGTCTCCCCAGACCCTGGGAGTCTGACAATGCAACCGGGAAGGAAACCGGGAATCTTCTGGGTGATTCTTCCCACCACAGCCTTGGGGGAGGCATCCGGCTCCTGCTGTGTCCATCTGTAAGTGAAGGCCTCTGTTTATAAAGGCTTGCTGTGCGACACAAGCAGGAAGGACTGCCCCAGGGTGTCCTGGGACTCCATAAGACACTTGTGGCCTGAAAAAACAGATATGACATCATTCTGTGTACATGTGCTTGCTTTGACACAGTTACATACACACATACAGAGGGAGAGATACTCTATTTGCTGGTTCCTTCTCCGAGCACCTGCAGTGGCTGGGGCTGAGCCAGGCCAAAGCAAGGAGCCAGGAGCTCAACCCTAGCCTCCTGCTCGAGGTTTAGGGGCCCAAGGTCTTGAGTGCCCACCTGCCATCGCCCAGGGCTGCATCTCTTCAGCAGCAAGCTGGTTTCTGAATCGGAGCCAAGATTTGAACTGTGGATGTGGATGTCCCACCCTGGGACTTAACCACTGTGCCAAACACTTACCCTCCTTGACCTTGAACCCTGATTCTGTCATCAGGGGTGCTGGCTGCCCCCTCTGGCTCCAGGATCTCCCCGTGTGACCACCAAATGCAGCTCTTTGGCCTGCGGATTGCGTTTCTGCCACCTGCAGACTCTGTCTGTGCTGAGGAAGGCGGACGTGGCACATCAGCTTAGGGTGGAAGCAGCATTCAGGTTTTGATTTTCATCCAGTCCCAGCAAAATGCCAGAAGTTTTGCACTAGAGACTCCTCTGGTGTCTCAGCCGCTGCCACAAGTTGATTCTTGCCTTCAGGTATTTCTGCAACCTAACAGATATCGACTTGGCATTTGAAACTCTTCAGGATTCTGGGCTGCAGGAAAAACAGACAGGGAGTCCACTGCCGAGTGTGTGTGTGTGTGTGTGTGTGTGTGTGTGTGTGTGTGTATGTGTGTGTTCGTGCACACATGTGGGAATCGAGGTTCCCATCTTTGAAATGAACCTGTCAGGCAGTCATGGCCCCGCCTCCTCAGAGCTCCCTTTCCAGGGCGTTAGGCTCAGGTGCCAGGAAATCCTGGCAGCACCATCCTGCTCCCTGCCCTAGGCTGTGGCGGGGGCTAATGGCTGGGTCGCTGCCAGTGCAGTGGGCACAAAAGGAACCTGGCCCAGTCCGCGTGGCCCTTGGCACTCTAATCACCATGGACTATTGGATGCCTACCAAATAAGTTGCTCAGGGGACTTATGGTCCCTTTATATTATCTGTTGTTTTTGGAATATGTGCAGTCACATGTTTTTTAAATTTGTATTTATTTGAGACAGATATCACCTATCCACTGACTTACTCCCCAGTCGCTTCCACCAACAGGAAGAAGCCAGGATCCAGGGACTCGATGTAGGTCTCCCACGGGTGGCAGGGACCCAAGTGCCTGAGCCTGCCAAGGGTGTATATTAGCAAAAAGACAAACTCAGAAGTGAAAATTGCACTCAAACCCAGGCAGACGGGCATGTTAGCTGTTACATGGAATAGCTGCCCTGCCCTTTTATTTTCTTGAAGAAGCAGGAAGTGAGAGTGAAGGGTGGAGTGGGAGCCAGCGGCAGCTGGGAGGGGTGTGGAGTGGCTGCAGGGCTGAGGCAGGCCCAGGGTTTCACAGGAGTGTGGCAGGAGGGATGGGAGACCATACGTGACTTCAGCCGACTGTAGGCTCGGCCCTCCTGGCTGGCTGCTGGCTCTCTCTCATCCTTTTGGGTGTCCCCCATTGAGAGAGGCCATCCCCAACCCCAAAACATGCCCAGCTCTCCCATCACTATGCCACAAGTGACTGTACCTGGGACTGGCAGCAGTAGCCAACATTCCTCCCGGTTCTGTAGCTTAGCAGGGGTGAAGGTTTCTGCAGGACTCCCTCTGGATGCTCCAGGGAGATAGCTGTGCCCTTTTCTGGCTTGTGGGTGCTGCCCACGCTGCCCGGCTTGTGCCTGCTCCTTCATCCTCAAGGCCAGAAGTGTTGGGCTG